TACCTGTTGATGGATCATACAACTCAGCACTATTTAAAACACTACTATTACCGTTTCCACCAGTAACTAATACTTTTCCGTTTGATAATACAGATGTTGTGTGATACCATCGTACATTATTCATGTTACTAGTAATTGTCCAAGTACCTGTTGATGGATCATACACCTCAACACTATTTAAAGAAATAAAACCAGTGCCAACTCCACCAGTAACTAACACTTTTCCATTTAATAATGCAGATGCTGTGTGAAATTGTCGTGCATCAATCATGCTACCAGTAGTTGTCCACGTCCCTGTTGATGGATCATACAACTCAGCACTATTTAAAACACTACTATTACCGTTTCCACCAGTAACTAATACTTTTCCATTTGATAATTCAGATACTGTATGCCAAGCTCGTGCATTAGTCATAGTACCAGTAGTTGTCCAAATGCCTGTTGATGGATCATACAGCTCAGCACTATTTAAAGAAATATAACCACTACCAGCTCCACCAGTAACTAACACTTTTCCATTCGATAATACAGTTGCTGTGTGCGTTTCTCGTGCATTAGTCATGTTACTAGTAGTTGTCCAAGTGCCTGTTGATAGATCATACAATTCAGCACTATTTAAAGTAATGCCACGAGTTTGTTCTCCACCAGTAACTAATACTTTTCCATTTGATAATACAGACGCTTTATGACCAGCTCGTGCATCAGTCATATTGGCCGTAGAAAACCATCCTAGAAGTTACATTTTTATATATTTAGACTACACAACATCAGATCACCAAACAATAAACATTCATCACTCTTGCGCACAGTATTTTTCATTATTCTAAAAACAATAGTCTTCGATATGTCTGTTTTACATCACCTCAAACTTATGTAGTCCGAGAATAGTAGTCAAATGTATTTTACAAATTCTCTTCACATATAATTTTCATATCTTCAGTATTCTATATTTTCTACTTCATATTTTATCTCAATCAAACATATAAAAGATGTCCATCTCAAACTGACCATTGTGATAGTTACACTGACTGATGTGTTTTTCGATTCTTTATCGATTTTACAAGCTATGCTTGAAAAATATTTAATAGAATGAAAAGTTAGAACTTCTCATCAACTCTTTCATAGTTCTCTGGATACTGCAATCAAAACAATGATAATCAATATTATTGCTTAAGTCATATCTAACATAATTATAAATTAATATTACTAGGACAACGACAGTAATAGAAAAAGTAGCAATAAATACAAATATGAAACCCAGCAAAATATAAATTTGAGTTGAGATGATCTACAATAACGATTTTTATCCTTCAATCTATTCATTTATATTATTTTGTTATTTAATGCAATAAATGCAGGCACAAGTTTATTTCATATACTAAATTTTTCAGGTCAAATATAAAAAACAAACAACGTTCAATGATTATAAAACTGCAAACCCTTATTTTACCAACTAAATGATATATAAAATTGTATTAGTGCATCATTTAATAACTAATCGGAAAACTTCAACATAGTTTAGTTCTTCATCTCTTTTTCGTTCCTTATGTTAATTAATAATGGATATCACAAGTCTATATTATTCTGTCGATTACATTACTCTTCACTACAAGAAAAGTATCATTTGAGAGAGTTTTTACATGAATGAATGATACTTTATCTATAACTGTGCATAAAATCAATTGTGCTAATTGATTTAATGAAATCTAAAATATAAATAATATGTATTCGAACCTGTTTTACACATTTGTGTTGCTAAAAATGGTAAACATACTGCTTGTGATGAACAACATGAATTAACAATGCATATTGAATTATTCGATAAACATGTTTGTGTAATATTATTACATTTTTCTAATATTGAACATAAAATACCAGGTGCACAATAACTAATATTATTTATTGTTCGATAATCAAAACAAGGTGTTGATGTTGAACGACAATTATCGTTATTATTATTAGTTAAGTTTACATTACATTGTTGTAAAGAACAAGTTGATGCCGAATTCCATGCTGAATGAAATGATGAAGATAATGTAAACCGAATCGAAGCATTATTTTCACTACAAGAATAATTCGGTAGTTCTGTAGTTTGTCCTACAGAATTTATTTATATTGTGACAGAATTAAATGAAAAAAAGATAATTTAACAAACCTTTTACAGATGAAAGAGATATGATGAAAAACAAGGCAATGATAGATCGCATTATTTTTTGTGTTATAAGTGAGAAAATAAAGTATGCACAACAAAGAATGATTTTTCTTTACTCTTTTTTTTTCATTACTTCCTACACTACTCTTTTCGCTGAAAGAGTATAAAAGTGTTTCTTTCAAAATGTGTCCATGTTCTTGAAACAAAAAACAAATTCCTTTTATTTTGAATTGTTTATACATTTAAATGTATTGGAATGTTTATTTTGTAAAAATTTGTTTTAGAGAAAACGTTTTTATGTCTATGATTTTCATAATCATCAAAGACTCTTCCTTTTTGTTCTTTCATCACAACAAAAGTCATGAAATTTTTTCAATCGAAGTTTAAAACATCATCAGCTATTAGAAATTGTTTGGCTGAGAACGGTGGAAGAAAACATCACTTGTACAGATTTATATTTACTTGATAATTTTCTATAATAATTCATTCATTACGCACAACTTTTCGAAGGTAAACAAGAGATTCGCTCATTATGTTCATATTCTTTTCATTATTTTAATGTCCTTATTTTTCATGTGACTATATTTTTTTGAAAAACATTATTCTTGCAAAGAATAAAAAATATTTTGAATAAAATAATCAAATGTGTAAATAATTTAGTTTGTGTTAGCAATAGAAGTTTCTAAGTAAGGAGTTTAATTCTTGTGTAATGTAGTTATTATCCTTAATTGAGTCGGTGTGGGTGTGAATTCAGATGAATAATAGACACCTCACCTATCCCAGATCCACATATATTCTTATTAAACTTAATTGTTGTCTATCTTCAAAACATGTAATATTAATTATACATAAAACAGTTGCTTCTTAAAGGTTTTTGTGCATATTTTCACTATCATCATTGCTAGAATCTCTTTTAGAATCTTCATGTTGAACACTTAATGTTATAATGCGACATCATGAGTACCTTTGTATAAAGTATGATGTTATTTCATATCGATTTAGTAACTGTCGATATGAGTTTAATAAAGTTTGAAATTTTGATTTAGGCTATAATTTATGATATGAATTTTTACGGAAAATTTTAGTATATTTAGTTCGGATTATAACTATTGTAATATGAAATATAAATGACAAATTTATTCACTAATTTTATCTTTCGTTATGAAAAGAATATACAATTAATATAAGAATTTTCAGAAGATTATTGATATGGTTTGATTAAAAGTGAGAGATGAATTGTAGTTAGAGTCTGCTTGATGGTGATAAAGCTAAAAAATACGTAAAGACGACTAGAATTTCTCTCATAACAATCCATATGCTAGACAGATGATTTTATAATGCTGTTTGTTCATGAAATCTCTTTCTGTTCATCAATGAAGTATTATAATCCATTTTTGTTTCAGACAGTTGATGCTATTAATACTTAACTATATATCAAATATATAAAAGATCGAAGATTATATGACTGGAAGACGTGAGTTATATGAAATTTTTAATAAAACATTTTTCTAGCTATAAATTAAAAATATTTACAATATCTTTCTTTTCAAAATTCTTTCTTGAATTTATGAAATGATAAAAAAATAAATGTGACATATTAGAATTTTTCTTTTGATTATTAGTAATGAAATCGACTTAATCCGCAGATCATTAATTCAATATAAATTACAACATTTGTTGTCATATCTATCATATCTTGTTATAAAACTTATAAATAGATATCAAACTAATTCTACTATCGAATGAACTTTTCTCTATGTCATGAATATCACTATTACTTATAAATTCTATTAGACAGATTTTAACTTGACAAAAATATTTCTGTTGTTCTCTATGAATCAAATAAAATCTTCTGGATACTTTTTTACTTCTCTATTTATTTGATACGTTAGCATCTGCTCTTTCATTAACAAATAAAACTTCATACGTCTTTTTTGCTTCATACATAAAATACTCAAATTTGCTGTAATCTTACGGTGCATGAAAACTTAGTATATTGAAGAAATTTCTAAAGCAAAACTAACCAGAGTTATGAAGTATTTTTCAACAGCTCTTATCAACTATGATAGTAAGACTATCTAAAGATCGTGTTATGGATTAAGCAATAATGAATTTGGTTGTGGGTGTGCAGCTTCACTCAAGAAAATCCGACACCCATTCATATCCTCCCTCACCTATACCTACAACCGCCATTCACCCAAATTCATGTTTCCCAATTTTTTGCGCTGATGATGTTGAGATTATACTTAATTCACCAGCATAACCTTGATTATCAGGCAAACGTTCGATCGTTACAGGTCGACACTCCATCAATAATACTTTTATAATCTATTATACAAAACAAACAAATGAAACAATATTAGGCTATCTACTCAATTTAATACTTAAATACGCTTCGGAAAGGTGAAAAGATAGTGAAAGAAATAACACTCTTCTGTTCTGTCCAAACTCATCATAATACATTGTTAATATTGTTTATATCTGATAAATGTTTAATTAGTGCATTAACTTTATGAAATTCTTCTCATAACACATACTAACAATTTAGTTCAATTTAAAATTTAAAAGTATTCATCGTATTACCATTCAGTTTTTTGTTCGACAATATTTAGAAAATAAGGGTCTCAGCATCCCTTAGATTTGCTTGAGAAAAATCGTTTTATACGAAGTAGAACTGCTAAAGTAGACTTACAGACTGACTGTATAACCGTCTATAATGATCTGTTGGTGAATGGATACAATTTTTTACTCCTCTAGACGTGAACATTTGGTTGAAGAGGTCTTCAATAAAACCAAAATGTATATTAATCTCTAAAGCAGCTGTTTTTACTAGTTGAAACAAATGTTATATAAATATGACAGTAGATTATCACTTACATTTTTTCATTTACACGAAATTCGTGATCTTTAGTTGGCTTATCTCTAGTTTCTAATTCTAAAATATATGACATTGATGAAGCCTATTTTGAAAGAGTCTAAAGCTTTTATCTCAAAGAGCGATCTATTTGATTGATGTATACAAAATAAGTGAAAGTGGAATTAGTTGAGAATTATTAAATAATATATTTTTCATTGAAAAGAAAACTATCGAAAATTTCAACTAAAAATATATTGTTTTATTTTAAAAATATAATATAATAAACAGAAAATGATCATGAACTTTATTTACCAACTATGAATAACAAATTATTTTTAAATAGTTTATTCTCTTTATAATATTGTTTATTAAAATATCTTTAACGAGATAAAAAGCAATTGTTTTGTTCTTTTACGTAAATAAGTAGAGAATTAATTCATGAAATAAATAAAATAATAATAATAATAATAGTATAACTTATTGTAAACTGTAGAAATTAGAATCAGTATGTATTAGAAATATGATTTTTCTCTTTTAATCGACATCATATTTACCTAATTTTCTATAATGAACACAAAAAATGATATATTAATGATGTACTTTCATTTTGAACTACGCCATTGTTGCTCGCTCTTTAACATAAATGTAATATTAGCATTTATTAATCGATTCAAATTCAAATATTGTCACTTTTTATGATCGTTATTTTTTTATATCTAAGTATGTATTTACGTATGGAATGATGTATTGATAACGTGTGCAATGAAGTATAAAATAAAGTAAGAAAAAATAATGGCGTTATAATCTAATTAAGAAAAAGGAAGTATATTAATAATAAATTTATCTACAACGAAAATATTGAAATAGTAAACCTTTCATATGCCATATAGAACAATAAACAAGATATTCAATTTAAATACATACAAAATAACAGACAACATGAATTTATTTTCTACATCAAAAAAAAAGTATTAACCCCGAACTCTCTCAAGAAGATTTATTTAGATATGAAGATATTTTAATTATTTTATCATCGATGAATTTTATTAGAAAAACTAATCGAATAAATAATATTGCGAATCAATAATCTTCAGATTTTTTTTATTCAGATAATTGATAATTATATTTTTTTTGTACTTCGAACTGTTCAGATCATAATGATCAAATGAAATAACGATGGTATGAAATCTGGAGAATTTTGTTGAAAATAATTCTATAATAATGATATCTATCATAAATACATATCCTAATATTAATAAAGTGACTGAATTATAGATCAATCATTTCTTATTGACATCGTTAGAACTTTATTCGGCAGAATATAATTAAACTATTTTTTTATTATTAGTAATAAGTTATTACTAATAACAGCTATATCGTATTTCATATTTTTAATTCCACCAGAATGGCGTTAATAGTTTTTCTTAAATTGTGAAATAATGATGATAAATTTCAAGCACAGTTGATTGTGACGAAAGAACGCAAAAAAAACATGAAATTGAAAAGGTTAACGCTTCGTTGCTTATTTATAATAATTTATTGCACGTTGTGCGTTAATTCAAAAATGAAGCAAATCATAATACAGTAATAGAAAAATAAATTAGAAACGACGATTGTATTTGTAACTATTTTTAGTGTATGCGAATAAGTAAAATATCTTTGCTATACATTCATTCTCGCTGCTATATTCATCCAAATATGTATTTTTTTTAGTATTGAAAAGTATTCAGTTGTTCACAATTCAAAACTCAAGTAAAATTTCTTTTTCGTCATATGCTTTAGTAGCCTGTAAGAGTGTGTATTATGATATATATTCCCAAGCAGATAAGCAACGAAAAATAACGCTTTAAAAGTCACTACCCGCTTGGATTAAGGTGAAGATATATGTTGGTTCTTGAATCCAAGTCGACATCCACACATTTAAGACACAGAAAATCGATAGTTTGAGTTATAATATGATATCTCAAGTTCTTATTATTACTAATTCTACCTTTAGACAGCGATAATTTAGGTAATGAACTTGAAACAGGATTTTCTCATGTATTCTGTGTAACATACAATGAAAATCGAGACGTTTCGAACAAGTTTATGTAAGAAAAATTGAAAAAATAGGCCAGACTAGAACAGACGGTCACCGATGTTGGTTTCACTTCTCCTCTCTAAATCTTCTAAAGACCCTATAAAGATCTCTGGAAATATGTTCATCAGTAGTTTTTATTATTTCCAACGAATTTTTACTCGGTTTTCCATAAAGAAATAGATATTTTATTCAGAATTGACTTTCCTTTTTGTTCTACCATATCAGTGTAAACAATTGTTCTTACTACAGGAAAACGAAATATGATTCGTAGCATAAGATTAAATACTTATATTCAGCATTTATATAGAAAAACTAGATAGATTTAAAAAATCCATCTTTACATAGTGTATTCAATCTAATTGAGAATGTAGCTCTTATTAGTTTTATAAATTACAGTCGATTAAATAGTTTATATCTGCTCAGTTTTTGATGTCGAATCGGAAAAAAGAGTGAAGTGAAAATTTTTCGAATATTTAATCCTTTTTGCCGAAAGAAAGTATTTGCATGATTAGCAGCTCTTACCCAATTAAATGACCTCAAAAAGGGTGAAAAACAATTTTACTTGAATTTTGAATTGTCAACACATTACATTGAATCAGTATTTATGTTCAAATAATAGCTAAATGTTTTCTATTAATATAGAACAAACGACAAATTAATTAAAATATATATGGAAATTATCAAGAAACAGTTTGATAATTTGTTACATGATGTATCGTTAAGATCGAACAATCATGGTTTATGCAAAATAGAAGAAGACAAAGAAGAAGAAGAAGAAGAAGAAGAAGAAGAAGAAGAAGAAAACACACAATTTGTTCTTACTTTATTCCATCCATGCATTGATGACGGTATAGAATACTTATTAAATAATAATTTTCAAGAAACAATTGAAATTGTTAATGCATGTTTGAAACTTGATGATCAAGATTTTGCTAAACTGTTTAAGAACGATAAGCATACACCAGTATTTATGATAATTACAAAATTAGCATTACATTTATTATCAAATTTAAATAATTTAAAATTATTGGAATATGATTATTTACACAATATTGGATTATTAACTATTCAAATTATACATAATAAATATATTTTTGACCTTCTGAAAAAAGAATTTTATGATATATTTTTTCGATATAGATTTCAATCAAATAATTTAACAGAATGTCTTTTACAACTTATTCAAAATATAACAAATTCAGTATTAACTCCAATTATTTGTTTGTGGTTAGATATCGTTGTTCATTATCAAGATGTTGTCAGAAAACAAGACAACGACTTGGATTATACCTATTTTGAGCCAAGAAAAATCATATCAGACTGTATTATTAAACAAATATATAATCTACCAAATAATTTAAGACTACGTGGATCATTTTTCTTTTATTTAACATGTATACCATATAATCATATAAATAAGGATGAAACACTTGCATCAATATGTCATCAATATATTCTTTCACAAATGAAAGATTTAAATGAATGGACATCAGATACAACACATTGTGTTATGGGAAGTGTTTGTTTTATCACACAGCATTTTTCTGAACACTTTAGATATGATGAAAAATATTATGAATCGTTATTACTTATTGTTTCTTGCGAAAAACTTCATAAATCATTAGTATCAACATGGACAAATGATGAAACAATTTTAATTCATACAATTATACAATATTTCTATACAAATCTTGGTCATGATAATGAAAAAATGATAATTACACTTGGTACTACCATTGACAAACTTCATAAATTATATGAAAATATTAAGAATAATTTAATAAAAATAAATACATGTTATTTAATTCTTGTATCGACACATGAAGAAAGTCATGTCTCTGATGAAATTATATTGGAGTGTTTTCAATATATTAAAAATCAACATCGAATAACATGGAATGGATATTTCAGACTAGGAGAAGCGCAGAAATTTTTAAAAGTATTAAAAAAAGCATGTCATTATGATTCAATTAAAGATGCAATAATTAGACTAGATAAGATTAATGAATTAGTTGATCTAATCGAATCTGATTCCGATATTATATATGAAATCCTTGCGCTTCTATCGACAAAACCAAATGCTCAAAAAATATTACAAACAAATCGTTAGTTTATGAACTATAATAGATACAAAAAGAAGAAGACAAAAGATAGATATTCTTCACAAATTTTGAAACGAGACGACGATTCTATGACTTCTTTAGGTGATAGACAAGGGTGCTTTCTTATGTGTCATACACAAGGGAGAAAGGGCGGAATCAGGAATTCTGGAATCCGGAGCGGTTTTATAAAATTCCCACGAATCCTCAAAATGTGTTTTTCTAATCCTCAAAAATCCAGATTCGACCCTCCCGTCTATAGTCAGGTATGTCTACCATCAATGGAATTACGTTCTTTGGTTACGAATGAAGTTGTACTAAGCTGTAGCAATACGAAGCTGGCCAAGCGTGTAAAACGTCATTTAGAAAAAGTTCATTGCAATATATTAATCTTAAATCAATGCAATGATCATATGGAAAAAGAAAACGTAATCTCAACATGTGAATGCATGGTTGTTTGTTTAACTGATGATTACGCTAAATATCGATCAGAATTAATTCTTGCTTACAAAAATCAAGCAATAATTATACCAATTGTAATTGAAAAAAGATATTGTCCAAATGAACCTTTTTTGAAGTTTATTCTTGAAAAATATTCATCATCAGTAATTCGTAAAAATATTAATGTATTGAACAAATCATTAGCAAATGAAGTTAGGAATATTCTGTCTATGCAAGCGCAGGCCTCATTTAATTCTTTCGAGGCAAGCGGCAGCTCGGATGATGAATTTTCACCACCAACTGTAAGTAATATTTTACATGCAACAAAACATGAACACGCTTCTTGCTATGGGATTTCCACATATACTTATACTGCTGAAGATTTGTATAAATCATGTAAAGAAAATGACATTAATAAAGTGACAGAATACCTTCAAAACATCAACATTAAGATTTTAAATGAACGTATAAGGAATGGAAGTACCGCTTTGCATATAGCATCTTACAATGGTCATAATGAAATTGTTCAATTACTTCTTAAAGCAGGTGCATCACGAACTATACGTAATTGGACATATGGTTTAACAGCCTATGAAGAAGCTCGAACACAAAGTACAAAGGATTTATTTCGGATAAATTTAGATGACAATGAACGGGATCATTTTTCCAGTAATGATGTTTATATTGAATGGATGACTACTTCTCTCAGTCCTCATAAAAAACGAAATTATCTTCGAAAAAAGTTGAACCGATTACAAACAAATAGAGATTATTATGAGATTAGCAAGTTTTATGAAGAATTGGTAAAGCATATGTATGCTTATATTGATACGTTAACCCTTTCAAATCATATAAAACAAATTCTAAAACAATATTTCACAGAAATGAAAGAAACATACAATCCAGTTTATATTATTAAAGTTTATACAAGTACGACTGGTTTTCATAAATACTATAATGAATATATCGCTCAATATGGTATTGATTTCTTTGATCCATTCAGTGTAGATATTCATGTAGATTATGCTATAATTAAATCTCTTATGAAAACTATTGCTATAATTATGTATGATAAAAGTTTTTCTAAATATCGATATTGTGGAAAAACATATCGTGGAATGTTACTAACGGAAGAAAATTTAGATAAATATATCGTTCATTCAAAAATAATGAATAAATCATTTTTATCAACATCAAAATCGAAAGAAATTGCTGAAGCATTTAGTGGTTGTGAACAAGAAATTTTTTTAAGAAAAACACCTGATAAACAAGCAATTCATAGATCTGTATTTTGTACTTATATTATCAAAAATCTTGAAACGGCTTTAAATATTGAAACAATATCAGAACGAATATCCGATGAAGAAGAAGTTTTAATATTACCATTTTCAATATTCGAAGTTAAAAGTGTTCAAAGATCATTAACAAATATAGTTCAAATTGAATTAGAAGAAGCTTCTGACGAATTACTTGACGATTATTTTTAAATATATTTCAATAATAGAACTTTTAATAAAACAAATATTTCTTCATTATTTTTGTATAACGAGAACTAGAATCATTGTCGATTAGAATAGAAGATTCATATATTCTCCATAAACCAGCAGTAAGATAATACCTTGAGGGTGTGAGTGTGAATTTATTATTTAGCAGATATTTTCACACCCACCCTTTTATCTAAAATATTTTTTACTCTGCGCAAGAATAATTTTTTCAAAAATAACAGCCATCTGAAAAAAATAAGGTTAGAGAAATATTGAAAAAACGTTGAAATAATAACTGACCGTTTTATTTGCTTTAGACAAGTTTTGTGTAATAAAAAAATTTTTATAAATAATTTATTAAATATGCCTCTGTTCAAGTGATGTATGGGTGCGGGTGTGGATGTGGGTGGGTATAAATGTGATATAACATGGTAGCTATATACACACCCACACCCCGGATGATGTCGAAATATGATTACTCGACAATGCGATTATTTCGTCTCAAATGCAGCGCAGCTCTGATCACTTTTCCACAATTGTGCGCAATTGCGTTTTTTTTTATCGCAGTTGCGCCGCAATTTCGAGTCTTACAATTTTCTTTTTACCCGACGCTTTTTATTAAAAGTAACTGCTAGGATCAATGTTTTTCTTTTACTAGCAACAAAGTAGCAATGACTTATTTCTTCTCTTTTTCTTTTCTTTTCTTTTTTCATCCATTGAATATATGATTCATTAATGTTATGATTGTTAAATAATTTTGATTCTCTCCACAAACACACTTGAAATTTCAGATGATGAATATACAGACTAAAAGAAAGTGCATTTCATAATTTTGTTAAAAAAATAAGAAAAGAATTATTTTGTTTTGTAACTATAAAATCGGTCGATTCTCGCTCGATTATTTCATAACATTTATATAACAAACGTAACGAAAAGTAATAAAAGAAGAATATTTTTTACTTAGTAATTCATACTATTATATCTCATAATGGCGAACATTTTGAGTTCAATCTTTATATTTTTATTCTATGTATTAACTTTGGTGTAAGTATTAATTATCAAGTTCTACATGTTATATACTTTTGTCTTTGTCTTCTTCAACGATAGAAACGCATCAGAACAACAACAGCAAAGTAATTAATAATAATGACTATTATTTTTTTTTTATTTTCTTATTATTTATTTCTTAGTTAACTCAACAACAACAGCAACATGTAATTTTACTGCATGTAATTCTCAACGACTATCATGTTCATCGAATGTTGATTGCGATTGTTTTTCATTAACATCCAATCCAAATATAGGAATATGTGCTTCAACTATTTGCTCCTGTGCAAGTGTTGTACGATGTAATATGGATAATATAACTTGTTCAATCGATGGTACAATCTGTGTAAATAGTACACGATGTGGTGACCCGATATGTTATCCATTAGCGTTGGCAAACAAACAAATTTGTCCACCAAAGATTGTTACAAGTAAAAAACATTTCTAATAACTATTTTAGTTTTATTTGTTTTTTCTGAAAACAGCTACAACATTACATACAACAACTGCAGGTAAGGCATTTTGTCCTGCAAATCTGAAACCGATTAGAACGAGAGCAATTAGTTGATCTAAAATAAATTATTTTTATCTTTTAATAGCACATGTAACAAGCACAACTAAATCTACAACAAAGGGTAAGCGTGATTTCATTCTATTTTATGGCTAACTTCTTTCTTTTGATTTAGATGCAACAACAACTGAAAAGGCGACAACAAAACCAACAACAACAGGTAAAATATGCCGCATCCCCGCCACTCAATCTAGCTCATAGCTTTTTTTCTTTTGCTTTTTAGTTCATTTCGTTAATACAACCAATCAATCTAGTACAGCTGCTAGTAAGTAATCAACAAATAATGTATCTGAACTAGCTTTGCAAAGAATTGGAATTAAAATTTATCTGTGATTTTCTTTTCGATTGAGATGTGTAGCAACAAGTAATCGAATAGACTACTACTTTTAGAAAGAATTATTATTCATACCTATCCCATTCTTTTAAATTTATAGTGAGTTCTATTTCGTGTGAGAATGAATTCCATGCATGATAAATTTAGATCTATACGAGTATTCGTTTGTAAATTTATCGAATGGTGTTCTCTATAAACCATTTTAGGGATGGGTGATGGTAAATAATCTCTTGACTAAACTCGCACCTACATCCTCAATATGTTGATTATTTGATTATCTAATGTTGTACAGTCTACAAATATAAAAATATAACTTCTAGGATGGTTTTATACTGGCAATATGACTAATGCACGAGAATATCACACAGCATCTTTATTATCAAATGGAAAAGTATTAGTTACTGGTGGATTTGGTTATACTGGT